TTAACATATGTGACGAGGAAGTTTACTATTGCTGTATGTCAGTTTTTGCAAAATGCTGGACTAAATAGAAAGACAACATTGGGTTCACCCAATCAATCTGTTGATAGACAGCTTTACTCTCAGGAATTAAATCAGATCCAGGGAAATTTTGCAATCATTGTCGAATAAATGCTATAGCCTACTATTTTATAGAAAGGGTTTTAAATACCGTAAGAAATTATTATTAGATAGTGTCGTGATAATGAGTTATATAAATAGGTAATGATTAATGAACTGAGTAACCTTGGTAATTTCTAAATTATTTTACTACTTTGCATGACTACCAAAATGGTAGCAAGAAAAATTAAACAGCAGTATTATTCAATATAAATTCAAAATATAATTGTTAAGTTAACGCAACTTCTAAAGTCATTTTTCAAAGAAGAGTTATTCTTTAATCAACAAACGGTCAATTGAATTTTGAAAGCCAAGGATTTGGCGCATGCGCAGAACGTTTTGCTCCTTGAAACATCAAACATCGTGCTGTATGGGCTCCGTTCGTCGAGCAACTGCTCAAATGTTTCAAGGCGTTGCGAGGCGCCTCGCAACGTTTGCTTGATCAGTGTGCGGCGTCCCATTGAAATACATGGGGTGCTCGTACCCAGCGAAACATTTTGCCTCGCAACACTTGCTTCAGGTGAAATGCTTGATCTGTGTGCGTCCGGCCAAATATCCAAAAGGGTTTTTATCCTAGGACGCTAGGCACGAGCCCGGAATTGTTTTTCACATTACTTCAGGCTAGACCTAGGGGTTAAGGCAATATCACTTAAATAATATCCATTGGTGATTTGGCAGGGTTTGAACCCGGAACCCCAGGAACCATAATCCCGCGCTCTAACCACGTAACCACCTACTCGCTCCCCCCACGATAGTTCTATCGTGTAAGTATTTAAAACCGAACATGCATTGCTATCTGCGGTTAAATATGCCAGAAGGTCATTAAAATCAATTATATTTAATTATTGTAACATTTAATAACACATATACACAACATAACTATATATATATATCCAAAATATTCATAAGTTGTGAAAGCTTGTCGTCTCCACATACCTTAACTAACTTTGGCTAATGCACATACCAGCTTAGAGTCTGGCTTACAGTCCGGAACAGTTCGACTAAATGAATTGTTGATGGGTTAACTTACAAGTATTGTGTCAGAACTTGTAACCGTTTAAATTAGCAATATAATACTATATTTTAGGATCTCAAACATTATAAGATACATAAGATTCTAAAATGAGTATCCCGTTGCCAAAGCCGTGAATTAGCCGTAAAATAAAACGTTTGATCCAATTGTTAAAAATACTGGGTTAACTTGGAACACAATAATTAAAATGTAGATTATCCCTGAGCTAAGTCCTATCTCATTGTCTAAGGTAATGGCAATCGAACTTCCTTATAAGATCGTCACAAACATCTATTTAGTTTCATATTGGATGTTAATGAATACGTCGAGCCAAGAGTATAGAATTTAAATACAACATCTCTATTGATTAGTTGCACCTGTAGTGTTTATAAGTTTGTTTTAGCAAGGTAATGTTTTGCCTCAGTTGCTTAGTTGAGTAACACGGAGACTGTCAACAAATGGTTACTACAAAAGTCAAAACTTGGCCTGAATTCTCTCCACAGCGTCTGACGAAGTCCGAGGACGGCCCAACCTGTTCCCGGAACACAAACATCCAGTCGTCTTAAATTGCCTTATCGAATGAGCCAAGCATTTCCGATGAGGAGCCTTCTTCCTAAAATTGGAACGAAAGTTACGCTGAACTCTAACTAGCATTAGTACGAGCAAACTCCAAAACATGAAATGCTTTTCATGTTATTGTTATAGCCATTTCTTCACAAGCGTTGTGGTACTTATCTAAGCAACTAAAACAAAATATAAAATTGGCAAATCAAACATGTAAGCACGCCCTTTCCATTGGTGTAACAATCAGCTGTTAATCTGATGCTCTTAATAGTATATTTCGTACCTAGGGCCGAAAATTAGGGTTTTAAGTTCGAGACGAAGTCTAGGACTTAAAACGGTCGAGAGCTGCAAAACCATTTCGGTCCGTGGTACGAATTTTTTTTACCACACTATACCCTAATACCACTATTCACCACAATAATAATGCACACTGATAGTCAACAGAACTACAAATTTAATTGAGGAATCAGCAAAAATAATAATAAATAGTTGCTAGGCAGCGGTGACAACAAAACAATTCTATTGCAATCCAATGGATACTGATTGTATTTTTAATATGCATTTATGTTTAAATAAAGTAAGCGGGCAGCTGATTTTGCTGCCCTAGGAATGTAAAAACATGCTCGGTCCCCAAATGACGATGACAGCTGGCATGGCCAGCAAAACCTAACTTTCAGCCACCAATTGACGTATGTAAAACAGCTAAAAACATCATAGTGTGGTGAAAAACATTTTGACAGGTACTATTTAAAGTACTTCCTGTAAAACAAGAAAAAATATACAACCGACAAGACGGTTCTTAGTTATGGTTTGATTATAGTTTGACTTGAGACCTTTTTTAATATTCTTATAACTGAGGATCATTAGGAAGTTATTACATTTTTATTGTATAACTAAGTGAAGAGGTGAAAACGTGATTGTAATTTTTAATTTCAAAATAACTTTTTCCTACAGTTACCTAACAATGTACATGTTCTCTCACTGATTTGAGAAAGCAAAGTGGCCAATTCGCTCATCAGTGAGACAATGTTAACATTGTCTCACTCTAATTACTTTGTCTCACTCCAGATTTGCAACGTGAAGGCACGAAATAGTGAGCGCGTAACATGCAAGCAACGTCGTATGCGCGCGAAATACGTTGGCAGCACTGGCTGTAAATCAGCTGGTCAGCTGTTGTACTGTTGTATTTGTCACTTCACATTAAATGTTATATTAAAAGTTCACTTCTGTGTAAAAATAGGTTATGTTTCTTCACAAATTTATTTGTTTTATGGTAACTGTAGGAAAAGTATAATGTGCAACTCGAGTTCAAAGTACAATTGCCTCACTCGAGAAACCATTCCTCACTCGACTACGGCTCGTGAGTAAGGATTTCTCTCGAGTGAGTCAATTGCTCACTTTTCTCACTAGTTGCACAAATAACTATTTCTCCATCAGAGACGTATTCTTTTATTTAAGGTTATCACTTATGACATTGTGATACATTACTACATACTTATTTCTCTTTGATTTATGACGATTCTATGAACAAACAAACAAACACAAATGTTAATTAAGCAAAGTATATTCCTTGATAGATCATGGGAACCGATATTGTAACAAAATTAAGTTTCATGTATGTTTTTTTCTCTCTAGTATGAGACAACAATATGTAATGATCTAAATTAGTCCATTGCTTCAATTAATTGCTAGCTTAAAAAAATAAAGTGTTAAGAGACTAAAAGGTTTTTATTACCTCCGATATTGAAACATAAAACTTGGCTGAAGATGGTTGGAAGGGATGTGGCCATTGATAAAGAATTATGTCCAATAAACTTTTATCACATTCAACGCATCCTGGTTATTATTTCTATTATCCCTCCATTTATCGTAAGTTACTAGTATTATTGATGGTGGTTAAGTAGCCAATCCATAATTTAAGCAAATTTTTGTTTGATCTCTGGACAATAAAAATATATATATACTAATTAATATTCAAACCTAAATACCTTCTTCCTTACCTTCTACCTTCTTTCTTACGTTCTTACCTTTTATAGCAAATATATTTATCGAATTGCTTTAATAGTTAAGGAAAACTTTGACACATTCATACTAAAACAATCTGACCACAATTATAATACAAGATTTTAAAACTCTTCCAAAGCTGCACAACATAGGCTAAACTTGTCCCATTTGTCACCACGGTACATAGGGCCCACAATTATAATAAACTGCCACTAAGTATAAAACAAATTCAACCATTAACTAAATTCAAAACTCATTTAAAATCGTGGCAATTGGAGAAGGCATTCTATTCTTTAGAAATTTCTTTTGAAAATCAGTAAATGTTTGTTTATGTCATTTTATTATTATTATGATTTATATTTTTTTTACTTACTTAAGTTCTTTAATTTAATATATCTAGATTTGAGTTGATTTGACTATTACATGTAAATTTTATCGATGTATTGTGATGCTCTAAATAAATAAATATTTACTTTTTACCAGTTCAATTCAGTAATCTTTGACTAAAGGTTTAAGTTAATGAAGAGTTTAATGGGAGTAAAAATGAGGGTTTCAGAAAGAGCACTCAGAAAAGGGGTGGCGACTATGACGTCAACATTTCTGTAGAGGGCATGTCATCAGGAGGACAAGCCGTCTGGAGGTCTTGGTTCATCTGCAACCAAGGTCAGCCATCTACAAAAGAAGTGGTACAAGTGGATTTCACTTTAACATAAATCAAGATTTTCCGTTGTTTTATTTCCCTTCCACTGAATCTTCTTGGTTAAATCGATAAACATTCAACTTAATCTCCTAGTGTTTTTCTGCCCTGAATCATATATTTGTTTCAGAAAAACACGTTAAACGAATTAATTTTAACATAAACAATCAGGTTTTACTAACATATTTATTGTTTTAAAATTTAATATTTACAGGGTTTTATTTTGCTGGTAAAAAAATCCCTACCAACAAGATGGATAAACTACTTTTGAATAAATAGCTAACCCTAGTAAAGCATACAAAAACAGTACGAAATGCGGATTCTACTGCATAATACCTGAGGTTTGGAATGTAAAAATAGCGGTAAGTTATAGCTTGTAATATCAGGGAACAATAACGGGGAATGTCTAGAGAAATATTTAGGATCGAACACACTAGCCTGGATGGATAAAAGGTTTGCACTTGGTAAAATCTCCAAAATACAAATAGTTTGTTATTGCTATCATATATTTTAGGGTATTATGAATTGAAGGAATATGTTACATTAAGATGTATTTATTTAATGTTCGACTTTATAAAAAAAATCATATTACCATACCATGAAAACTTTTTTATCATTGTTCACATCCTTTAATCCAAAACAATTTTAGATTTGTATAACATGAACACCATGCTGACGCACACCGTGAGTGTGCTGACGCTGCTGATCATTGCTGTGGAGGAGTTATCGCTATGCACCGCCAGGGCGAAGCCCACCTGGTTTTGTCCCATGTCAAACACCGTGTAGTACTTCCTCATGAACACATCCCCCAGAACAAACAGAGGAAGGTCAAGACTACCAGCGAAGCCACTGATGCACACCCGTTCGTTGCTCTGCTCGATCTGGATCATATAAAAGGCAAAGGGCTTATATTTATGTTTTTAAGTTTTATTTTTGTGTTATTGCGGTGTCAAACCTGGAGTGGTAAGATAGCGGACTACCTACCGCAGTGCGGTCACCACCTACGTTACCACGGTCAGTGACCGGTGAACTGTGTACCTACTCCAAAACCACCGGATTAACGTCGTCCGTTATCCATTATAAAACTTTAAAAAAATCTAAATTTCTTACGTGTTTTACATGACAATCTTTATTTAAAGATAATAAAATGACTTTGCGCCGCAAGATGCTGTCTATGTAGAAGCCGAAACTACACTCCATTCAAACAATTTAGGTGGTTTGAGGAGAAGTTTGCCACTATTTTTTACTTAATGTATATTATGCAGCTGACTGAGCTGGTAAGCCTCAGCTATTAAACTATTGTTTTAAAGGTAGGGAAAAGTGAAATGGACAGATTTCCTCTCCTGAAACAGCCTACAATTTTTGAACGGAGTTTAGTTGCTCTTGCAATTGTATGGATTACCTAATAGAAGGTATTTACACCAATTTAAACATTAAAGTTTTAATTCAGATAATTGGAAAGAAACATCTTTCATCTGGTTACTATATACCACAAACCCGGTACTATCCCACACAAATACACTAATTTTAACGTCAGGATCTTTTAGTATCTTCTTCTCTCTATTGAGATTATGATTAAGGGTTTGCCCAAGCTGTCCTATCTTTACCTTATTTTCAACATGGATTTTAAAATCAGATGAATAGTCAATAGTTTTATTCTTCCCCCCTCACTTAACTTAACTTCCCGTGACCATAGACTTATTGTGCTGTGAGATCATATTTCGTGTTCACATTTTTACTATACAATAAAGAGGTTAACTAGCTTTTATAAGAAATACATTAGACCACGACGCTTAGGATTTATTAGTTTAATATAATGTTAACTATTTTCTTTATCCAAACAGACCTAACCAGATAAATAGTGTAAATTTCGCTTTGATGATAATAATCACTAATTAAACAAAAGGTTTAAAATGCCTAAACCTAAGGTTCTAAGGTTTAATGCACCTTAATCGTGGTCTACACTTAAGCAACAAAGTTTATATGTGAGGAAGGTTATTTTCACTCGTACTTTGTGAAAGATGTGTATTTACAACAATATTGGTTCAAGGAAAGTAATCGAGAAAATGTGGCATTTGGAAACTTGTTGTTAATTTAACCCACTGATAGGGAACGCATAGGGACTATTTAGAATGTTACAGTAATCAATAATAAGCTGAATAAAATAATTATAGCTATAAGGAAGACATAAAAATACCACTATAACGTAGTCTGCTGGGTTGAGGTTTAGAAATGTTCCGCTTATGTTGAATGACACAACTGGCATACTTGATAATGAATTGCAGTTAACCTGAAAAATAAAATAATAATTACTACGGTTATTTAATAAATAGTAACTAATGGATAAATGGATAACTATTCATTAAAACTATAATTTATCATGAGATAATTTTCGAAATCATAAACCATATATACCTTTTACAGAAAAAAATTAAAATTCCAAAATAAAGATGTTATTATGTAAGACAGATTTGACAGTGAATCCCAAGTACAAAATTGATTCAGATGTATTTCAAAAGGTATCAGCAGCTTGGTTTTTATAGTAGAACTCTCAAACTACTAAATTCATGTAGTAGAATATGTTTAGAATATATAGAAATTATTGTACATGCAGAATATATTTAATAATTTGTATTAAAACCAATTAATGTATGAAGGCACTAACCATATAGCTGCACATCATTTACAAGCTACGTTTACTTATGAGGATAAAAACGTGTAGTTTCAACAATCGACACGTGGGATTTACGAGTATTTCTTCGTTCATCTAATGTCAGTGTTTACCATCAGTTTTGACAGTCTTGCCACCATCGTTGAAACTAATCATGCATTTGCATGATTAGTATAATTTATGGTAATGACAAACAAAATAACGTTTACCTTTTCCTAAACGCATGGAAAAGAAGGGTCACAAGTACACATTGTTCCTTTAAAAAAGTTAATTTTTTTACAAACGACAAAAGATCTCAGCTTAGGTTTTTGTGTATGTTAGGAGTTTGTCAATATCATCGACTAAACTAACCAAACTTAACTCTTAACTTGAAAGACTTTGAATTGTATTTCCTCCTAAATGTTTGTTTGGATTCGTTAAGATATATTAGCTGACTAAAAATTCGTCAATTACTAACGTACAATGTATAGGCCACTGCCCCGGTCGTACTGAGCGCCCATCGCTGTGTTTAAGGCTGTCATAACGTCAGAGGGTCCAAGGATCAAACTAGTCCCAGAGTCAGGAGTTGCTGCAAAAGCCGTAGTGAATGGCGTTGAGTCTACGATCAACCTGTAACATAGAGATCGACAAACATATTTGGTTGTTTTAAATTAAACATCATTATATCATTATACATATAATGCCTATGCCTTACTTATTTTTTAATGCAGATAAGCTATTTCACATTAATGGGAGATAATAATATTTAAATAAAACTTATATACTTTTGGTTTTGTGCGCAGCATTGCTTCTGTAGACTAACTCTGAACAGCAATGTTTTAAAGGGTGTTACTAAAAAAACACTGCTCCAAAATAATATCACCGTTCAGGCAATTCTACAATATAATTTGACCAGTCACGCACTGGTTCAAATTAATGTGACCAGCCAGAGCCTGCTTCAAAATGATGTGACCGGAGGCACTGTTCCTAAATAATTTGACCGGCCAGGGTCTGTTCCAAAATTATGTAAGCGGTCAGACATTTCGTTCAAATAATTTGACCGGTCATGGTGTATGTACTGTCATGAGGACTTTTCCACTATGATGTACTGCTCCAAAATACGTGACCAGTCAGGCAATTCTACAAAATAATTTGAGAGGTCAGGTAGTGCTACAAAATAATTTGAGAGGTCAGGTAGTGCTTCAAAATAATTTGAGAGGTCAGGTAGGGCTACAAAATAATTTGAGAGGTCAGGTAGTGCTTCAAAATAATGTGAATGGTCTGGCACTACTCCAAAATAATGTGACTGGTCAGACAGTGCTCCAAAATACTGTAATAGGTCAGGCACTGCTTCAAAATCATGTGAATGGTCTGGCATTACCCCAAAATCATGTGAATGGTCAGATAGTGCTCCAAAATACTGTGAGAGGTCAGACACTGCTTCAAAATCATGTGAATGGTCTGGGCATTACCCCCAAAATCATGTGAATGGTCTGGAATTACCCCAAAATCATGTGAATGGTCAGATAGTGCTCCAAAATAATGTTAGAGGTCAGACACTGCTTCAAAATCATGTAACAGGTAACAGGTCGTGTAACAGGCACCGCTTCAAAACAATGTGATAGGTCAGGCACTACTTAAAGCTCGCTACACACGGTCAGTTCGGTGTGTCAGTTTGGTGTGTTCACATCGAACTGACACACCGAACTGATCGTGTGTACGCCGAATTGATGTGAGCTCACATCAAAAAACTGAACTGATGGACTGATGAAAATTCATCATTTCGGTGTGACACACCGAACTGATGTCAGTCCGAAGTGAGCGTGTGTACCGCCGCGTCAGTTCAGTTAGTCAAATTTTGGTATTTGAGCATACGAAGCGTCATTATATAACCTATACCATGGATAAAATATACTTCCTTAGTAGAATTCTCATACTTAAGGATAAGCTGAAGAAAATGTATTTGTTAGTTCTGTCCGGTGTACTGTAGATGTCATTTTTTGTTTACAGTTTGTTTACTGTCATTTAAGTCATAATTCATATGAAGGTTATCACAATTTACAACAAATAATAACTTTAGTAATCATATTATTCTTTAAGGTAATGTGGGAAAGGTGTAAGAGATCCATCTCATCACCAACAAATCTGTCATGTGTAGGAAAATAACAATTTTTATGAAAATACATACGAACGAGTAGGACTTCCCAGCAAGGGAAGCGTACCTGGGAGGATTACACCCCCAGGTAACACGTTGAACTGACACACCGAACTGACCGTGTGGATGCAAATGCTGCGTTCAGTTAGAAGTGACAGTTAGAAATGATCCCACCAAACTGACACACCGAACTGACCGTGTGTAGCGGGCTTTAATAAATTTAAGGACCAGGCACTGTTCCTAAATAAAGTGAACGGTTAGGCCCTGATTCAAAAATAATGTAGCCGTTTATGCACTGTTCATAATGCTTATAGATAGGTTTGATGTTAAAAAAGAAGTTATTACTTTTATATAATGGTAGACCTACCTTTAGATAAGAGATGTCAACTACACGACTGCTACAGTATTCTTTATTTAACTCAAATATTTGTAAAAGCTGTTGGTAAATTGCTGTAATGTTATGTTTTTTATGTATATAATTCAATTCTGTTTCTAGAAAGTGGTGAATTGAAATTTTGAAATCGTTTACTAAATAATTTTTGTAAACATACTTTTTATATTAGTTTATCTAAAGTAGAATTAAACATATATTTGCTTACCTGCTACGACGTATGTATCGTCGTATTTATGGTGGACGTTTGTGAAAATTTGAGTCAAAAACACATAAGAGATTACCATTTTTTAGTTTCTATCCATACTATGTTTATAAGGTATCACCAATTATTAGATATTTAAATTCATTCACATACTTACCCATCAACTTTTATGAGCCAGTATGATTGGTCTATGACAGGAGTGTATGTAAATGGAGGGGTGTATCTGGCTGGGTTAATCCCACCAAAGACTAGTTCGCCGTCGTCACCCATGTCAGAAAATCTAAGGATAGAAGGTTGTTTCATTAGTTGTTTGTGCCGAAAATAAACAAATGACTTTCCATTAATCACTTACGTCAATTTTCTTCGAGTATTAATTGTGTTAAAGTAAACATTTACTGTTTTTCCCATCTCTAAAATAGTAAATTTAAAATCTGTGACTAACAGACTAAATATAATATTTAATTAGATAATGATACTTAGTTCTGCCTTTTTGTTAATTTGTATACTTCAGATGGGGTCTGACCGGCTGTAAATTCAAAACTTACTGCTATTTAGGCATGTAGCATAGATGGGAAATGTGATTATGTCTAAAGGAGTAGTTTTAGTTGAATCATAGTGCTGTAAAATTGCAATCAATCAAAAGAGGTTCATGTAAGTAAATGTTTCTTCTAAATAACAAAACTGATATAAGAATTAGATTTCTCAACAAAATTAATTCAATAAAAACATAAATCATAATATTGTTTTCACAAAAAAACTTAAGTGTTTGAAATGTTAGATTTAAGTACAAAATGGAGTGTATTCTGTCTGCTCTTTATTATTAGGCTTAGGTTAAATTAACTGAGCTAATTTTGGGACTACGCCTGTTATGGAATAAAGCCATTAGGTATTTTATGTGTATTATATTTTATGTAAAATTATGTGCATTTTAATATGTATTTTAATTCATAGGGATTTTCACGTGACGAATATAAGCAAACACATTGTAAGGTATGACTTTGGACCTGTTTAGGTAGAAAGCGAATACCGGCTGGTCTAGCACCCCACTCTTCATCATAGTAACAAATGGAGGATCTGTTTTTATCTTGGACAGCTTGGGATAAGCTAGGCCAAAGATACCATCGAACTTGGAGGGGAAGAATTCGCTGGAAATCTTAGTTGACTCCCCAAACAATTGGTTGGTTATTGAAGTGTCCATCACCTGTGCAACCCAAGAAGACGGTTGAAATAAATTTACCGATACAAGGAAATCTTTTTTTAGGCTATTTACTCATCAACAAAATATATTTTATCCAAAGGTAAGTATACAAACCTGTTTATGGCCGGTTTATTACTTCTATGAAATACTAAGGAAATAATTTCAACAATTTTTTTTATGAAGGATCAACAATATTTTGATTCGGCAAATGTCCAAAGTAACAACATTTGGTCTGCTTCAAATATAAAATAGTATATTTCGTACCTAGGGCCGAAAATGAGGTTTTGCTGGCTCAAGATAGTTTTCAATATGATCGAGGGTTGCAATAACATTTCGGCCCGTGGTACGAACGCTATTTTTCACCCCACTATATCCTATTACTACTATTCACCACACTAATAATGCACACTGATAGCCAACACAAATACAACTTTAAGGTTATGTGAAGGAATAATTTGAGGAATCAGCAAAAATAACAATAAATAGTTGCTAGGCAGCGGTGACAATAAAACAATTCTATTGCAATGCTATGGTTTCTGATTGTGTATTCTTTAAAGTAAGCGGGCAGCTGATTTTGCGGCCCTTGGGATGCAAAAACCTGCTCGGTCCCCAAATGATTATGACAGCTGGCATTGCCAGCAAAACGTAACTTTCAGCCACCAATTAATGTATGTAAAACAGCTAAAAACATCATAGTCTGGTGAAAGCGAATGAATTAACTAGTCTAGAAAAACATGTATTAAACTGCACGCCAGTTGTATTGTAATATCTTACCACCACTTCATTAAAAAAACTGTTGCTAGTTAATTAAAATAATGTCGATTTTGCATTTATCTTCTCGCATACTTGATACATCTAAGCAAAATTATCTTTGATCAAACCAACTGTATGCGTTTAATCGTGCTGGTAGAGGGGTTTATCCGAAGATACTAAATTAACCACTAGATGGATGTTCATGACTCTGGTGTTGAACTAAAGATAATTTTGAAAAGAATGGAATTTTGGAGCCATACTTTCAATTCTTAAATTCAGTTTCTTCGAAATGTTGTTTTTACTTCACCTATTTACTTTAAAACTGATTAACATTTAATTTAGGTTTTAATAACAGGGATTTAAGAGAAATGTATAAGCACCCAGATACAGTGTGGCGCTGCCTAAACGTAAATAGGTGAGATGGGCAGGCCATGCGTGGAGAAGAGTAGATACTTTAACTGTTAACAGTGTATTCCGAGGAGAGCGACACGGTGGGCGACCAATTAGAAGACCAAGAATGAAGCGGAAAGACCAAGTAAAGAAAGGCATCTCCAGACTGTACATCAGAAGAGGCAGGTGATAAGAAGAGAATGGAAGCATATTTTTGGGCCGCCACAAACCTCTTATTCAGTGGCCACCGAGGTAAGATAAGATAAGTGATAGAATGCAATGAAAGGTGGTATGTAGTAGCTACTTACAACCAGTGTGAAAAATCGGCCTCCGATCTCACTTCAAGGCTTTGTACATCGACTAAGTTGCTGGTTTATTGTAAAATTATTACATTTAAAATTCATAGCATCCTTATATATAATACGTGAAGGGGATTTATACTAAACACTACTCCTCCATTAATAATTGATGGATTTTTACAAACGAGGTGCCAAAATTGAGGATTTTTTGTGTAGACACCCCCTTTCACCAATTCCTGTAATAAAAGTCTTCGGGCTTTGCCTCACAGACCTTCAAAATGTCAATGTTTGTCTTATGAAGAAAAGATTTTGTTTACTTAAACAGACGAATGATTTGTATTAATTACAGCTGTTCATAGTAAACACATGATAGACACAAGAGCTCGTTTTCAGTTTCAATAACTGGAGTGAAGTGATTGATTAAATTATCTTTGAGTTGACTTTTTTAAGTCATCGAAAGTTATGACTGCTTTTCGTTTTGAAATAACGCCTGTAATACTTTGCAATTGCTCGAATTCGAGCAACAGGTGCACTAGTATAATTATATAATTTAATGACTAAGTGACATTTGTTTACGAAGTATGTTTTCACATTTGAACTGACAGAATTTTCCTGTATGCATATGTAAACCAGCTGTTCTGAACTATATCTAGTCTATATAATTAATACGGTACATGAAACTTTGTCGGTTGAACTCCTCCGCCATTTCTTAACCGATTTTATCCATTGACGTCTCATTGGAAAGGGCGTGTCGCGTAGATTTGCAAACTGGCCTTACATTTTTGAAAAAGTCCCTTGGGCTCTGCCCCAGTGGCTGTTAAATTTCCCATGTTATCCTTATGAAGAACATAATTGTTCACATTTTGATCAGCTGTATAATTTAATTGCTGTTATTTATTTTTCGATTCAATGAAACGCATTGTATGGTACATTTACTGATTTTGATTAAATTAAATATTTACTATTTTAATTTACATTCGTACGTATTTCAATGTAAAAAATCTAGAAAGCCTGGACAATTTGTTATATTTTACTAAATAAGAAAAATTAATTGGCATAGTACTGTATTTCTTGAGAAAAATTGCGACAAAGCGGTTATGCAGAAAATCAGGTAGTTCTTAGTCATGTAAACAAAATGTTATCGCTATAAAAAAATTACTGAAATTAGTAAACGTACTGGCGTCAATGGGTGGTACCACGCAGACTACATTATCATTGACGAAGATCAACACGGACGACCTAATACGGCTATAAGTGGGAAACATTTTATGAACCAGATCAGCTTTTGAAAAATGATAATATATTTACAAGAAATGTTGATTATATGGAACTGTTAGGTACGTAATCTATGAGTTGAGTCTTTTAAACTCATCTGAAATTACGATGAATTTTATTTGTTTTTAAATAACTACTTCACTTCTTTGCAATTGCTCGATTTTGAGCAACGTGTTTACTAGTCCCTTTTATTAATACGTGAGGGCTGTTTTTTGTGAACAAAACTACTCCGTTATTGCTGCACCAATTTTAACGTTTGAGGTGTCAAATTATTCGTCTCAATTAGTAGTTTTGCATAAAGGTTTTAGAATTTAAAATCTCTTACCTTTAAGGGCACGAGACGCTCTCAAAGGTCGCGTTTTCCCCATAAGAATTGCATTGAAAACAAATTTAAAAACAAAAACAGCTGTATATAAAAATAAACTCACCAGCTTTTTGGGAGTAAATATTATTGATGTTTGTACTATTTATGAGGTCATAAACAAAATCTAAACAGTTAATCAGTTTTGTTGGAAGAACAGAAAATTTCTTGAATTTAAAGGCGAAATATTGAAAACAGGAGGAGGAGACATTTAATAGGAAAACTTATACTTATGAGATGAGTAGGGGAGAGGCCTAGTCTCACAGTAAAGCCGGGTTTTCCTAGGCGCGGAGTCGGCGAGCGGAGAGCGGACTCCACTTGTCTTAGGCAATTTAATGTTACTGTTTTCCTAGAAGCGGAGCGGAAATGCCATGTTAATTTCAATTCCGCTCTCCGCGTTCCTCTCTTCGCCCGCCGACTCCGCGCCTAGGAAAACCCGGCTAGGGAATCCAGGTGCACAATCACTTGGGGAGATGAATAATTTTTGCCAGTTTTTTGGATGTAAAAAAACACATGAAGAATATACACATCATGTTGTCACAGTGGTAAAGTAAGCTTACCTAAAGTCAGATCAAGTAAATACATGCAAGAAATGTTTACTGGTAACAGCTTTAAGTCGGGAAACATATTTAGAAAACACTGAAAAAATAAGGCGAGGTCCAAACAATTCTAAAATATTTTTACAAGAAGTGTTTATTATTTCAAAGCGCTATTAAATAGCGTGAGTATTTCAATTAGTTACATAAGCATTTAGTAGGGTCTTTTTAACTCATCGAAAATTATTACTGTTATTACTGTAGTTTTAAAATAACTTATGTATAATACCGGAACTTGACAATTGCTCGATTTCGAGCAACAGGTACACTAGTTTTAATTTACCATTGATAGATAAAACATACTACTTTAGTAGATTTCTCATCCTTATGGAACAGCTGAAGCCAATTTTATTGTTAGTTCTGTCCGGTGCGCTGTAGAGTTCGTGTTTTGTTTACAATTTGTTTCTTAGTCTTTTAAAACCTCGTTTAACCAAATAAAATGATCTAATAATAAACAATAACTTGTCCTCTAGTTATGTAACCAAACAGTAAATCACAAATCATAAAATTAACCCTAAAATAATGGATGTCATCGGTTATGAACCAAACACGAAAATCGAGCGTAAAAATTTAAAATGGGATGAGAAGTCTACTTGTGTTAGGTAGTCTATGGTAGGACGAACCTCAGATAGTTATACTTTATTTATGAAATAGCGTACTTTTTGTTCCAAACAATTATACTCACTCTAACGGTATCCTTAGACACAAAGCCTGATGTTGACCCTTTGCCATATTGGATAGAGAAGTTTGTTCCCACTCGGATGTAGGTCACACTGCCGTTATGGTTGTAGACGTTATGATGCGCTGGAGGGCAAATCAAACATTAAATCTTACTACAGTAGTTGATGTGTTTTTGTGATTTTTGTTGTAAAAAACAAAGGATACCAAATGGTTTGTGTAAACCGGAACTAATACGGGAAAAATAGGGACGGCAAGTTGGTGCCTGCAAGTACGTGGGAGTTGCACTTACTGCATACTTACCTTGTCTCTATGGGGTGTTTTCTACGATAAGCATGCAATAAGTGCAACTTAAAGTCGTCGCTGTACTTTTACTTACAACAGAAGGAGGAGTTGGTAGCACAAAACTGAAGAGAGGGCACCCATAGATCAGCTGATCCCGTGTCGAACTGGACCGTGAACTGTTGTGGTGGAGTGCCGATAGTAATATCTCCGCAGTAGTACATCTGCCAACATCAAACCTGCTACACTAAGATTAATTTTATATACATATTGGACTATACACATTTCTTTGTCCATTACTACTAAACAATTCACCCATTCAGCTTGGGAAATTGAACACGCTTTGGGAAGTCTTATGATCCTACACTCCTGTAGACAGCATGCGGTCATTTAAGTTACCATGTAAAGCTGACATAAAGTTTGAAGCCTGAAATCCAAAGTCCACTGAAAAGTCAATACCATCAACGTAAAATCCATTATTTCAATAAGGAAAACGCTTTGGTTTAAGTTATTTGAATACAAACTCAAAAATGACGTGGACGACTGTTGCAGTATCTATAACGTTTGCGTTTATAATATCAGACACAATCTAGAGAAAATTTCATTCCACAGTTTAAATACACATAAAAAACACTGTGTTTCAAATAATATGTAGGTATACGTAGAAAAATGTTGACAATCATTCTATATATCTATAATATGTTTTTAGTGAACACTAGTCCCTTATTTGCGGACCAATTTCAACGTTTGAGGTGTCAAAAAATTTTCTAAATTTTTATTTTTGCAAAAAGGTTTTAGAATTTGAAAACTCTTCCCTAAATGACACAAGGCGATCTCAAGGGTAGATTTTTCTTATAAGAATAACAGAAAAGATTTTGATATAAAAAAACAGTTGTTCATAAAAAGGAACTCAGCAGCTTTTTTGAGAGTAAATATTGATGTTTCCAATATTCAGAAATATTAAAGACGAATTATTACAGTTAATCAGTTTTGTTTTAAGAACAGAAAATGGTTCTAGGCCTATGTCAAAGAATAAATATTTAAAACAGGATGATGAGACAATTAATAAAATATCTTATCACAGAGCACTAAATAAGAATTTAGTGCCAACAAGAGTTTTTTTGCGGTTTAAAAGAAATCCCTGATTCACAATATAAGAGTGTCATATTAAGGAAAATTTCAGAATGCATTCTCAAAAACTGCATGATATTTGTAGAAAATGAAGACGAGCTATAAACGCCCGAAACACACGAACAACTACTTCTGGCAATGTTTTGAGATAATTTAATGTAGAACACTTGCTTATAAACAATGCTTTTTATACGGCATGTTAAATGTTAAATGTACAACTTTTAAGAAAACATACTAAATAAGGCGAAAACTATTCGTAAAATTCTCTTAAAGCAGGCAATTATAAAAAAAAAACTACATCTGCTAATCATAATTTTGATCCATGCAGGATTATTATTCTGCTTGATATGCCAAATCTGGCCAAGATTGAGAAAATGTCGATTGGTTGGGTTCAACCAGAACTGTTGGTTCACCAAATTAAATTACAAAGCAAACATAGAACAAATACCGATACATAGGATTTGTATGTATTGTCCACATCTTTACTTATGAAACTTTGTTTATAGTTCTGAGACAAACTGATAAGTTAAATTGATACTTAATTGTATCTCGCCCGCTGTGAATCAAAACCAGATCAACTAATAATACACCCGATTTTGTTTCAATTATAAGGAAAGTTATGTTTAACATTTTATTTCCTAATGATAAGAGATCAATTTTTTATCTAATGTTTATACAATTCCTTGTTGTTTTAACAAACTATTGTTTAATCTGTTTGTAAAACTCTATTAATTCCAAAAGCCTATATTGAATAAGTCATAGTATTTAAGTAAACTCTTTAGCTGTTAGTAAATGACACAAATTCAACAACTTACATCATAAAAGTCTTGAAGAGTAACGTTCTGTTTATCCTTTAAGGAGTTGGAAATCGCCTTAAGTGATTTTCGCAGATCTACAAGATTTTGCTTCACTCTTCTTAGACCTACAGAGAAGACTTTTGTATCGTTCTTTAGAACTGAAGACCTAAAACATCAAATATAAATTACCGGTACTCTAGCATAATTTAAATAAAGAGTTTTTTATACTAGGCCTACATACAGTTTTTTGTATTATACATCCAAGGTGTATTTTAGACATGGGAGACGCAGAGAGTCAGTAAATCCACAATTTTAAGGATTGGCTACTCTGCCAAGGGTTGGTTAATCTCGTACGCTCTTATAATAATCATAAAATTAACCAGTGTTTTTTTTTTGCGGTAAGATATTTATAACATTTCTATGATTCACTGGAGTAATTTGAAAAATATCTGAGAATAATGCTGGACTATTAGATTTGACTCAACATTGTGTGTCTTGCGTAAGTTTAACAATAAAGTACAGAAACTTTGAAGGTTTTTCCGGCTTGTTAAATTACTTCATTGTCATACGTTTTCACAACTAGTCAGTATTTTTGTTAATTTTTGTTACACTCACTCGTTATGACCAATGCACATAATATTTTTCACAAGAAAAATTAAATTGTTCCAATCTTACAATTAGGCTGGTCGTCTAAATTATAAAAATTACATCAAAAGTGAAACTCACCCAGAAATGGCAGCTAGTAATGCGATAAATATTATTCTCCATACTAAATCCATGGCACTGACACTGAACGAATTGTTGAGAGTACTGATCAATACCCAGTGCCTTATCTAATCAAGCTTATACTTAGTCAGTTACACGATTATGGATGTGAAGAAGTTGAAGTACTTGAAATCAGACTGAACACTCACACCGGGTTTAAATTCCCAGATATTTATAATGCTCTAATCGTGAAGCCAGTGAGTCATTGACAATATCAAAAATATTTTTAAATCCAACCTTATTCACATGATATATTTGCTTTAATGGGTACTTTTCAATAGTCATGGAATAATACTCCATTCTGTATAGTATTCATTTATCGTTTTAGAGAGTGTCCTTTACTCTGAGAAAGTGTAAGAATATTAAACAATCACTATAGTGTTTTGCTGACGTGTTTCATTAAAACAGAGACATCTTCGAGCATATATTTACATTTTACCAAAATACAAAAGCCACGTGAAAACACAATATAAGTACCAATAATAAGTCGACGCGGTGGCCACAACACGTTAAAGTTTAGGCGTATTGGATAGGTTGTAAAGAAACAATTAAACTAGACTTTAAACATTAACAAAAGATCTCACCAATCAATAAAACTGCAAGAGCAGCAGTATTACATGTTTCTATGCGATTTCTAAATGAATATGGTTGATCGGTGAAGCATGGTTAAATACGATACAAGAAAAACTTAGTCACATTTCGCTCGGTGCAAAACTAAATTACACAAACTTAAATTAGTAGTTTCATCTAAGTTAAGTTTCACATGACTAATTACTTTTTATAAATGCTAAACCTTAATAATAATGTAACCACAACCATTTAACCATGCTGTTTTACAAATTAGTCCCTACTTCACTTTCTACTTTGAGAAAAAAAATTAATTGGCGTTTAAATAAATTGATTTAATTGATGTTGTTTTAAAAGAAACCCCATTCAATTTTAGGTTGTGGTGTAACCACTTGTGAAGAATTAACCCAGGTGATATTAAAGGTTATCAACCCATACACAAGTGTCAAGTTGTTAACTTCAGGTTAATCATGCGAGAACGTTGTAAATTTATCGTTTCCTTCCTGACATAAATACACATTTGTGTAAGTCTGTTGACCTTCATTTATGATTTTATTTGCAATTTATTGACACATCCAACTTTAACTACTTCTTCCTATAGTAATAAGATAATTACTGCCTCCATTTTTACTACAGTATTGTATATCTCAAAGATAACTGTATTCTTCCTCAATCCCACAAACTTTGATTATCTTTGTTATTCTTCTCTCCATTAGCTGTTTTGGAATTTTGTTTATTAATTATATTGCCAGCAAATGAGGCAACACGTGTTTTGAAAGAAAGGTTAAGATTAATATATAATGTTGAGTCACTTTCTATCTATAATCAACATTTACTTAATGACTACTTAACTAAGCTGGATTATCTTCTCAAAAATAATTTTGGCTATTAATTAATGTACTTGAATCAATTATATTCTTTATCTATTACAGGTCACAATAAAGGTTGTTGAAATTATAGAATGGCTACCGTCCACCACCAATAACCTTTTTAAGAAACTTATGATAAATGGGGGGAAGATGGAAATAAAAACCAGACACTTAGGATCAGCCGGTGCGTTGAATGCGATAAAGAACTTTATTGGACATAATTCTTTATCAGTGGCCGCAGACCCTTTCTACCATCTTCAGCCAAGTTTATGATTTAATATCGGAGATCATAAAACGAATCTTTTATTTTCCTGAGGTTTTACAGTCTCGAAAATTAGCAACAGTTTCCAATGGTAGTGAGTAAGATATTCATCTCATACTAGAGAGGAAGGATTCGACGAAACATAATAGCTACAGGTTTTATTTTCAGGTTTTACATTTTCCTTTCTTATTGGCTTTCAATGAATATATTTTAAACATGTATTTGTTTATTAATGCAGAAATCACATAAATAGAAAAGTATTAATATGGTTTCAGATCGACGAATAACCCTAATACACATCTAGTTTACATCTCTAACGGATACATGATGCCTTACTCACTGACAATGTAATGAATTTTAACTAGATCTAAGAATATTAGAAAAGATAGGCCGAAAGTAAAGACTTTTAAATGTAACTTTAAAAATTATGTAGGAATAATATTGAGCTGCAAGCTCACTGTTATGGATAAAATATTTGTCCATCCTATATAGTAGTTGTGTTCTCATATGCAAACGAAATATTAATGCTTTCCAACAACATCTACATCAGATTTCTGTCGTCGTTTTTGAAAGAGTGAGTTATAATTATAAGCAACTAGCTGTACCCGCGGGCTTTGCCCCGTTTTACTTCATAAGTGAGCTCGTTCGCATGGCTCAATAACGTGCTGGTAGAAGTTCGTTCGCTACGCTCACTCACCTTTAGAATGGAGCTCGTTCGCTGCGCTCACTTGCCTTCAGGTTAGCTCGTTCGCTACGCTAACTCGCCTCCAGGTTGAAGTTTGTTCGCTACGCTCACTCAGCTGTACCCGCGGGCTTTGCCCCGTTTTACTTCATAAGTGAGCTCGTTCGCATGGCTCAATTACGTCCTGGTTGAAGTTCGTTCGCTACGCTCACTCACCTTTAGGTTGGAGCTCGTTCGCTGCGCTCACTTGCCTTCAGGTTAGCTCGTTCGCTACGCTAACTCGCCTCCAGGATGAAGTTCGTTCGCTACGCTCACTCACCTTTTGGTTGCAAATTAGCTGTTGTCATAGATTTAAAAAAAAAATAATAGTTCTGCACCCTGTTGGTAATCCTTGTAAGTTTTTAACGCTTTTGCATATCATAGAATCAACTTTTTAGTTGAAACAGCTGACTAAATTATTTAATTCCCTTTTATTAAGAATACTCATAAGGTTAACATGGGGAACTATAGAGCCACTGGGGTGGAGCCCGAAAGGATTTTTGAGATAAGAATATGCCTATATGTTAATCGGGAATGTGAGCTATCATCATGCCAAATTTCAGCAAAATCCGTCCAGTGGTTAATGCGTTCACTTGTCACAAACATACATCCATACATACATCCATACATCCAAACTTTCTCATTTATAATATTACTAGCTGTTGTACCCGTGCTTTGCAACGGGAAGAGAACACGAAATAGAAACATTTTGATCTTTACATCTGTTGATAAAATAGTTACACATAAGCCTTTTAAAAACAAAATTTTACCTTTATGGCCTTAATAGGATAGCTGTTGTCATAAATGTAAAAAAATAATAGTACTGCACCTTGTTGGCAAACCTTGTAACTTTTTTATGCTATTCAATATCATAGAACCAACTTGTGTAGTTGAAACAGCTGACAAAATGCTTTTATTCCTTTTAAATACGATTACTCATAAGGTTAACATGGAAAACTCCAGAGCCACTGGGGCGGAGCCCGAAAGGACTTTTAAGATAAGAATGCGTCGATATGTTAATCGGGAATGTGAGCTATCATCATACCAAATTTCAGCCCAATCCGACCAGTATTTTTCGCGTTTACTTGTCACAAACATACATCCATCCATCCATACATCCATACATCCAAACTTTCTCATTTATAATATTAGTAAGATTAGGATAAATATGAAGTTTTTATTTATTCAATAGTTTTAAATTTAATACAGTATTTGATTTGCTATTTTGTCATGTATTACAGAAGACAGCTTTCTATTACGATGCAATGTAAATCTAAAATTAAACCTGTGTTTCAACAATACACAGGTGATGTTTATTCAGGTGCTTATAAAACATCGTCCAAGTCAATAAAACATATAAAAGTCGTGACAGACGAAATTGCAAAACTAAGTGCAGCTGGTTTTGTCAGGTATTGGGCGTAATATTTGGGCCTTACTTCGCCGCCTCCCGGTATGACAGTTTATTTAAACTTTCCTATTGGAAGTGAAGACATAAATATCCGAAATGATTCCGTAAACGTATCATTCATAACACGGTATAAATTTGTTCTGTTTTCCGATAAACAAATAAGGACCTAAGCAAAGCTTACATGATAGATTTGAATTATTTGTATTTTCTCATATACAGGGCTATTACAAATGATGTTCATGATTTCATACATACATAAAATATAGTTTTATTTGTTATACAAAGAAATAAAATGGTTACAACTTTTGAAAAACTCAAAAAGTTTCGACACAGATACACAGAACTGTAAATGCTCGATACGGGAACCCCTTGTGGTACGACAGATGTCAATAATGTAGTCAAGCTCTTGCTAGACTTTGAAAAGTGTATCTAGGTCTATTGTTTCGATAGCATTGGATCTCAAGTATGCTATCTGATAATGATGGTGTGTACGCCTTATCTTTGATGTATCCCCACAAGAAAAAAATCAGGGACTGATGTCCGGAGATCTTGTAGGCCAGTTCAGGGTGTGTCATTATTCGGACCACCGAGCTCGTTCCATATCTCAGGCAGCACATTGTTAAGTTCAGCCCTACTACAAGTAACATTCAAATGCAGCCATTTCTCTTAAATTCCAAGTGGCACTTGCCAATATAGTGGTTACTAGGAGGATAATCGTTAAACCTGGTTCTAAAGTGTCGTTGTACACTAATAACAGATTGGTTAATGTAATATTTATTCCAACTGGCAAAAAGCTTTCCTGCCTTCAAATTCAGCCATTACACAGCACTTGCAACAAGTGACTTGACAAACAGCTGATATGCACCCAAACCAATGTAAATGAAACTTTATGAGTTTTTCTTTCCAATGGTACCAACTAAAATAGTCTTGAAACAAATTAACCCAGTAATATTTATAATCAAAATCAGGAACATCATTTGAAATAACCCTGCATGATGCCCTCATTTCCATACGCTTAGCTAAGTTGAGAATTTAAGAGTTTAACGAACTAGGAATTAATTTTACTTATTATATGTTGATGGTATTTTTAGCATATTCTATATGTATCCGTTGAAATCTTTTTCGTTTAGATCAATAAACAATCAACATGTTTTTTGTTGTTTTATTTTTCAGATTGTTGCTCATCAGGAAGCATATAATTAAACTATGGCACAACATTTTGTTTGGAAAGTG